TATTTCTGCTTTATGACAGGAAAGTGACAGGAAAAGTGCATCAGTATGAGGCTGATATCTTGACTTCCGGCCGAGCCATACCTTAACCGGTCATCTCAAACATCCCTGTCAATGGATGTCGAGCTAGGCCAGGGGCTGTACCTACAAATATTGTCCCCAAATGACCCATATCGAAAAGTTTTTTAATGTTATTCGGTAATTTTTGTTTTGCTCACCTCGCCCCGACCAGCAGCGCGGCGCCCTCCCTCTGCAGCAACTTGAAGTGGTCGCGGTGCGACTCGTTGCCCATGAAGCGCTGCACCTCCTCCGCTCCTGGAAGCAAAACAGACAACACATCAGTCAACTTGGTTCGGAAGGTTCGAGGGTTCGATGCCCGGCGACGCCGCCGAAAATGCGGTCGCGAAAGTGTGCGCAGTTGTTATTGTCCGTCGTCGCGCAGTGGGCCAGAAGACCGGCGGAGTTGGGCAAAGATCCCGGACAAGTTATGGAGGCCCAGAGTCGCTAAATGGGACTCGAACCGAACGTGTGACCCCACCAATCGATTGCTCTCCGAACGAGGAATCCATTGGTGGGGTCACACGTTCGGTTCGAGTCCCACATAGCGACTCTGGAGCTCAAAACGCGACTAGAGTTTTGGCCGCCTCCACCAGTCTTCTGGCCCACTGTGCGTCGAACAGGCGGACGTGAAGGATGGCGACGCCGATCTAAATCTTTTTGCACTTTCTTTGGCAACGCTTCGCCGCTACACTGCGAGAGAGTCGCCCCTTGCAGGGCTTTGCCCCTCGCTGCCCCGGACGGCTCCGGCTGCCCAGGCTGGCCAACCGACCGGCTGCAAGTTGCCGATTGAACCCTAAAGTTGTCCCGGATGGGTCCGGATGGCTCGCAAGGGGCTGAATGCAGCAAAAAGCAAACAAACTTGGGAAGCGGAAGCGGCGCTCGCACGGCACACCGCCGCCTTGTCAGAGAGAGAGAGAGAGAGAGAGAGAGAGAGAGAGAGAGAGAGAGAGAGAGAGAGAGAGAGAAGGAAAGGGGGGGGGGAGGCTGCGATAGGTTGCAGGCATGCCAAGCTCACACGAGACAGTGAAGCAAATATTAAAAAAAACGATTTAAAAATAAGAAAGGTGTAGATTGTTTATGACGTGTTCATCACTTGGAGAAAGTAAGTGCAAACTTGTTGTTGTTTTAATGTTTTTCCCACTCTTTCTCTCTCTGTCTCTCTCACTCTCCCTGCGCCCCCCCTCTCGCGTACATCCCATCACCTTCCATCACATTGAGTTATTTATGTGTGGTCCCCTCCCAGGGTCCCGAAGGGTGGCGTCCGAAGCTTCACACACACACACACACACCACACACACACACACACACACACACACACACCACACACACACACACACACACAGCCCCCGGAGGCAGCCCGCGGCCACAGGACAGCCCCCGCCGCGTCGCCGCGTCGCACGCGGAGCCCCCAAACTTGTCCCACACATATATATTTATTCTTGCTGTTATGTTTCGTATGCTCCGCCCAACTTCCTTTTCGGAAAAATAATGTGTGGGCGCGTCGCGTCGTCTGCGCGGCCGCGGAGTGACAATGCCTACACTGCCAGGGAAACGAACGTGACCCACCAGCGGATTGCTCTCCGAACGAGGAATCCATTAATGGGGTCATCGAGTTCCGTTTAGCGACTCTGGAGCTCAAAACGCGTCTGGGGTTTTGGCCGCCTCCACCGGTGTGCTGGCCCACTGTGCAGCGGAGCGAAGACGGGGAGCGCCTGGCGGGTAGGCATTCAGCGCACGGCTGTCTGGCGGGCCGGCCTACCCGCCCGTTGGCAGGCGGCGACGCACCGAGCCCCGACGGGAGGAAGAGAGAGAGGGGGATGGGGAAGGGAGGGGGAGGGGGATTTTTCCCGGTCGCCGCCGCCGTCCAGGACCCTTGCGAGCCCTGTCCGCCAGTCTGGCCCCGGGGAGCCGTTTCGGTTCGGAACAGTACGGAATCGCGCCCTGCATCACCCTGCTGCCGCTGGCCGCGCCCTCGGCCCGGGTTCGAATACCCACAGGTCCCCGTGGTTTTCCAGCCGATGCACAGTGCGGTAGAAGGCCGGTGGAGGCGGCCAAAGCTCTGGGCGCGTTTTGAGCTCCAGCGTCGCTAAACAGGCCTTGAACCGAACGTGGGACCCTTCCAATGGATTCCTCGTTCGAAGTTCAATCTTTTTGGTGGGGTCACACGTTCGGTTTGAGTCCCATACAGCGACTCTGGAGCTCAAAACGCGTCCAGCTTTTTAACCGCCCCCACCCCTACTGGTCTTCTGGCCCACTGTGCGCCGCCGAAGCACGGGGACCGGCTTTGCGTGCTCTCAAACTTTCCAGATCACAGTCCATTAAAAATTTGGAGAGAATGGCTGGGGATGTTGTCTAGCGATAAGTTTGGGGAATGACAGCGTTTCAGCTTGATAATCACATCTTCCTCTCTCTCTCTCTCGCTTTTTTTGTCTCTCTCCCTGTCAGTCTTTGCACGCCTTTGCAGAGAGCAGCTCCCCCGGCGTCTTTTCAACGTCTCAGAGACATCAGCTTGCGTCTTGGTTAGACAACTTTGCCCGAATCATTTTGTGATTTTTTTCTCCCCTTTTTTTCCTCTCTTTGCTTTATTTCTCTCCCGCGGGTTCCCATTGTTCCTGGCCTTGTTCCTCGAGACAGAGTCGCTGATATCAGCAGACGCTCCGCTCTGCCCGGTCCACTTCTTAAAAAACAAAGCAAAAAAAAAAGGAGTCGTGAAAAAAAGAACGGAAAAGAAATCAGCGGTTGTGGTTACACAGTGTTAAAATCAACCACAGGAATTGACGCAAATTTACGAATTTATTTGGTGATTATAAAGGTTCAACGGAAATCCACCGTGGGCCAAAAGAAGGTGGACGCAGTCAAAATTCCCGACGTATTTTTAGCTCCAGAGTCGCTGAATGGGACTTGAACCGAACGTGTGACCCCACCAATGGATTGCTCTCCGAACGGGGAATTCATTGATGGGGTCACACGTTCGGTTCGAGTCCCGTTCAGCGATTCTAGACCTGAAAACGCGTCTAGAGTTTCGGCCGCCTGCACCGGTCTTCTGGCCCACTGTGCGAATATCTCGAAAATAAACCGAAGTCGGGGGTGTAGGTCGATGCAGACGTCGTGCCGCCACGGTGGCGTCGGGGAGCGGTTCGTCTGGGTCAACGTCACTGCACGCCAGCGGCACGCCAGCGGCCGGATCACGCCACGCGCCAAAATGAGTTTATTTTCCTGGAACGAATAAGGAACAGCCACGACGCTTCTGCTCTGGGAAAATGGAAGGGAGGGGGGGGGGGAATTTCACATGATTGACGCCCTGCCAACGGGCCGGCCAACAGGCCAGCCAAGCGAATCAAGCCCATTATTTCAACATCAAAATGCCCCCTTCGCCCGTCGTCCGGCGCTAGCGCAGCCCTGCGGGGTTCGTTGACGGCGCTGGGGCTGGTCTGGCTGGCCGGGCCGGGGCGTGCACATTGTTTCGTTTGCAGACTAATTCATATTCAGACGGAATTTTTGTTTCCTTCTCAAGTTGATGGATGACGGCGGGTGCCGCCGCCCTGGGGCATGGTGGCGGCGGTGGTGTCGGCGTGCGTCACGCATCGCACGACGATAGCGCGCAGTGGGCCAGAAGACCGGTGGAGGCGGCCAAAACTCCAGACGCGTTTTGAGCTCCAGAGTCGCTAAATGGGACTCGAACCGAACGTGTGACCCCACCAATGGTTTGCTCTCCGAACGAGGAAGCCATTGGTGGGGTCACACGTTCGGTTCGAGTCCCATTTAGCGACTCTGGAGCTCAAAACGTGCCTGGAGTTTTGGCCGCCTGCGCCGTCTTCTGGCCCACTGTGTCCAGCGCGGCGCTCCCCCCTCGAATCCACCCCTGGCCGCCCCTGCACTGCATCCGGGCGGCACCGCGATTGCCGCGTGCCTGGCGTGCCTGACGTGCGCCGCGTGACCAGCACGCTCGCCTCATGACTCAATTTGTCGGTCGGCAAGCTCACACAGGCTGCATGCATTCCTCCTTATTCTTCACCTTCGCCCTCTTCTTCTCTCCCCCCCCCCCCCCCCCCCGATTTCGGTTTTTGAACTCCGCGGCCGAGGCTCGAGGCACGGCCCCAAGGCGACCGACCAGTGCCGCCTGAAAGTCCCCACGTCCCCACACCACGAAATATTTAAAGCTAAAAGTAGCGAAAGTCGGGCCGGCGGGTTTCGTTGGCACGTTGCTGAAAAACACGCCCCCACTTACGGTGCCGTGGCTGCAGCGCCAAAGGTGACGCGGTAATTGCTCTATTTATGACGCGGGGGCTTTCGTGCCGCCAAAGCACACGCTATCGAACCGAAATTTAATCAAGTACTAAAAAAAATAATAGCAAAAAAAAAGCTTGGAAATTTTTAATTAAGTAAACGGTACGACAATCTCCTGGGAAATGTCCGATACTCCTGAGACAGTAGTTTTACGGTGGGTAGACCGAAACTAACCAAAGCAGTATTTTCATTGGCCTCATTGTTGCAAAATTTTCTTTTTCTGACCGAAGGAGGCGGGGGGGGGGGATAAAGTCTGAATGATTGTCTATAAAAGCCGTCGCCCTTCGACAAGTCGCTCGGGCGTTGCCCAGTGAACAGTGAAGCCCGCGGCCGACAAAAGGCGCGATCGGACCTCCCATCATCTTCACAACCAGCAAAGAAAAAGAAAATTATAAAAAAGAAAAAAAAAAAAGAGATGGACAGTCAGTCTTATTGCGATTCGGCGAGGAGATAGCGCACCTTGCTGCGTTAACGCGAAACACGAGGGCAAACTTTGGCGCCCATGTTTGTGTCTGTCTGTGGTGGAGGGGGGGGGGGTGGGTTGGTGGTGTGTGTGTGAGAGAGAGAGAGAGAGAGAGAGAGAGAGAGAGAGAGAGAGGCCGACTAGTGCTGAGTGGTGCATAATGCACAAGCGGTACAATGCATGCCTGCGACTGATAAGCGGACCACACACAGTGTATACAGGGGAATGCAGGTCTCGTAATTAAACGGGTTGCTTTTTGCAGCACTAGCGGTTTCGTGTGTGTCGCCCTTTTTTCCTTGTCCCGCTTTCCCGTTTCCCACGCCAGTTTCCTCGCCACACACACACACACACACACACACACACACACACACAAACCAACACACAACCCCACCACCCCCCCAAAAAAAACCCCAAACCCCCCAAACAGAACCGTTTGGGTCGGGCCCCCCGGGAAAAAGGGGGGGGGGGGGGGGGGGGGGGTTGATGAAGGAAGCACAGCTCCCTG